GAAGAGAGTATTTATAAACCAGTTTCTATTATAATCATCATCTGTTTTCTTATTTTCTCTATCATCGGAACATTGGTAGCTCTTAAAGTCTGTAAGTAACCTATTGACTATTATATCAAAACCCTCGGACCTTATTGTCAAAACCCTCATCGAATAAAACACTCTCGGGCCTTATTGTCGAAACCTTCATCGAATAAAACACTCTCGGGCCTAATTGTCGAAACCTTCATCGAATAAAACACTCTCGGGCCTAATTGTCAAAACCTTCATCGAATAAAACACTCTCGGGCCTTATTGTCGAAACCTTCATCGAATAAAACACTCTCGGGCCTAATTGTCGAAACCTTCATCGAATAAAACACTCTCGGGCCTAATTGTCAAAACCTTCATCGAATAAAACACTCTCGGGCCTTATTGTCGAAACCTTCATTGAATAAAACACTCTCGGGCCTAATTGTCAAAACCTTCATCGAATAAAACACTCTCGGGCCTAATTGTCAAAACCTTCATCGAATAAAACACTCTCGGGCCTAATTGTCAAAACCTTCATCGAATAAAACACTCTCGGGCCTTATTGTCGAAACCTTCATTGAATAAAACACTCTCGGGCCTAATTGTCGAAACCTTCATCGAATAAAACACTCTCGGGCCCAATTGTCAAAACCTTCATCGAATAAAACACTCTCGGGCCTAATTGTCGAAACCTTCATCGAATAAAACACTCTCGGGCCTAATTGTCGAAACCTTCATTGAATAAAACACTCTCGGGCCTAATTGTCGAAACCTTCATTGAATAAAACACTCTCGGGCCTAATTGTCGAAACCTTCATCGAATAAAACACTCTCGGGCCTAATTGTCGAAACCTTCATTGAATAAAACACTCTCGGGCCTAATTGTCGAAACCTTCATTGAATAAAACACTCTCGGGCCTAATTGTCAAAACCCTCATTGAATAAAACACTCTCGGGCCTAATTGTCAAAACCCTCATCGAATAAAACACTCTCGGGCTTAATTGTCAAAACCCTCATCGAATAAAACACTCTCGGGCCTAATTGTCAAAACCCTCATCGAATAAAACACTCTCGGGCCTTATTGTCAAAACCTTCATCGAATAAAACACTCTCGGGCCTAATTGTCGAAACCTTCATCGAACAAAACACTCTCGGGCCTAATTGTCAAAACCCTCATTGAATAAAACACTCTCGGGCCTAATTGTCGAAACCTTCATCGAATAAAACACTCTCGGGCCTAATTGTCGAAACCTTCATCGAATAAAACACTCTCGGGCCTAATCGTCAAAACCCTCATCGAATAAAACACTCTCGGGCCTTATTGTCGAAACCTTCATCGAATAAAACACTCTCGGGCCTAATTGTCAAAAGGGTTTTTTTTATAAAAAAAAAAAATCAGTAATCTAATTGGTTTACAATAATAATTAATAATACAATTGTACTGACCAATCAGATGAAGAAAATTCTAAATTCTTCACAACTCCCCCAAAAAGAACATTATTTTATCATACCGGTACGCCCTCTCTGTATTTCAGATAAAAGGCAGCAAAGAAAGAGAATTAACAGTGAACTGAATCAAATAGAAACAACACATCTTCATTCAGAATCAGATACATTAACTCAGAAGGTCTGTTCGATTGCACAGACTACTGATCCTGATCATTGTGAATCTATTAGTGAGGATAGTTTGTCTCTGACCTCGTCCAATCCTGGTACATTGAAAAGTTATCAGGATGTGAAACTAGAGTGGGTTGAGCACCAGGATGATGGGACTGTAGAATATATAGATGATAATGGTGTTAGATATACTGATTTATAGCTAGGGGTATTAGAGGATGGGTGTTGTTGGGTGGTTGTGGGGTAGGGTAATGTAAGGGTGGAGACTCTGGGAGTTTAGGAATTGGCGACGGTCTGCGATGGAGAAAAGTTTTGCGATGCCTTGCGATGGATAGCAACAAAAGTTTAGAGAAAATAAATCAGTCCCATTAAATTTGCAACAGAGATGATTCTGCGAAGGTCCGTTTGATATTAGTTGTGTGTGTGTGTGTGTGTGTGTGTGTGTGTGTGTGTGGCTGTTGCAGCCCTGTTTCATCATCATGTAAACCCTCTTACTCCGAGACTTACAAATGTCACTATATCGAATTTCCAATTATCCAAGACTCAAGTTGACTTTCACTTTGGGGCGTTACGATGTGTTGCATATACGCCTCTAGTGGACAGCATACAAATATATATATAAAAACAATAATTTGAAAAGATTGTATGAAGATAGGAGTATAAAATGTATAAATATGGTACATGCAGAATAAACATCAAAATAACAGCCTTGCTTTCTTACTCAGAGTAACACACAACATCATATTACCAGCTAGTTCAAATGGTTCAAAATGAATGTGAACTACGTTCCTGTTTGTTATTTCCATGTAAGAGCCATGCGTAGTTTTGTTTGTGTCTTTGCATTGATTACATATACAATGTATATGTTTCTCGATTATGTGACTTAACGAAGCAATCGTCAAAAAACTATCACCACGACCACGTCTATTTATTTAAGTAAATATACTTACGTAAGTATATATAGGTCCTACTCACATAAGTAAAAGTGGTCGTGTAAACTTAAAAGTAAGCAAATATACTCTAGGAGTATTGTACTTCACCTCAAGAGGTCGTGGACAAGTATATTTACTTATAAGCAATTATACTCCTAGAGTATATGTGCTCGTGAAAACGCATAGTTCATTTAGATACACCAAATAGGTTCCCAAACTCTGCAGAACTAACTAGCCAGTGAACAGCTATGGCGAGCTTATGGTCCAACTCAATGGAGGTCTGTGACATAAAACTCTCTTGTTGGCAATTAGGGTTTAATAGAATGTTTCTTTTCTCATACGAAAATTCTCTACCCGCAATGTATCATCTGGAGACCTTTTCACAATCGTATTCCACCAGTACTGAGAGCGTGGATTCCTCCACACACTCATCTTCCGACATAATCCCAGGATTTATCCCAATCAGGAAGTAGAGAACAACTCTCCTGCTTTTTTTTAGGATAAGAATCATTGATGACATTTTCTCAAATGACCAAAACGTTATGTTTATAACAGAAAACTTTATTTATTCAGCCTGTCATATAACACCTGCGGACGCAATGTAAATAATCTTTTACTTACGTAAGCAAATATACCCCAGGAGTAAATATGCTTATGTGAGTAACATTTGGCCGTATTAACAGGGCTTAAATTCAGCATCCAATTAAATATGTGAAAAAAAACTCTGATTGAAGTAAAAATTTTGTTTATAATCCATAATCATAAGATATTATATTTTTTCACTATACAAATATTTTTCCTCTATTGGTTGTAAGACTGACGTTCTAGAAGGTCTAGTTGTAATAAGCTGAATTCATTTGAATTTTAATCAATCAGTGAGTTGTTTTGATCACATTTAATTTTACTTAGTTGGGCTATCATTTGAATAAAGGATAAATCATGAAATCTGTCCATTCTCTGGCTTATATCCTATATCTAACAATGGCTAGTGTAACTCAATCTGGTGTGTTCTTAAAATATCTTATAATCATTATATCTGAGGACTACTTCCAAATTCGGAATTTTTACTTAGAGCTCACTTTGCGCCCATCGTGACATTTTAAAAGCGAGCAGCCGCGTGTAAGACTTCACTTTGTCCTCATAATGTTGGTGTTCTTCCTACATCTGGTCCCAAACTAATTGGTCCATAACCGTGGTTCTGCTACACGCAATGATTTATCCACAAAGTTTGTACATTTTTATTACTTCCGAAGACTATTTACATATTTTCAAGACTCAAAAGGGCACTTTGTCCCTTTAATATTTGGAGTTAAGAGATCCCATAGATATCTTGGAGGCAAATTATTTAAACAATTGTACACCATCAGAAGAAGTTTGTATTCTAAAACCACAACCAAACATTTAACTTGCTGAAAAAAAGGATCCCTGTGGACCACAAGAATTTTAACTTTTAATCAAACGACATTCTTCATCTTATCTAATATACAAACAAACTTCAGAAAATATTAGATGCGACATTTTTGTTTACAAGCTGTTAAGTAACGTCATACTACCTAATCCTATAAAGTGTATGAAATTATTCCAAATCACATAACTTTGATTAAAAATTTCAATTTAGTTATCAAATGAATGTGTTTATCTAGATCTTATTTGTTACGAACATGGACATTTTGCAGAATGGTGCAAAAACCTCAAAATGAGCGTCCTATGTAGAAAATGTGCAAGGAATTAAAGGAAAATATCTGTTTAATACGGAAGCGTATTAGGGCCATTCATTTTTTTTTTTTTTTGAATTTTCAAGTTAGTATGTTGAATTTTCAAGTAAAATGTTGAAAATTCAAGTTACTAACTTGAAAATTCAAGTTACTAACTTGAAAATTCAAAAAAAATAAAAATGAATGGCCCTAATACGCTTCCGTAGTTTAATGATCGTTGTATGTGATAAATATAATATTTAATTCAGGTCTCGGATAATATTACATCTGGAAACTCATTTCATAGATTTCATATGACATAAACACTAAGTTTAAAATCCTCTCTATATATATTTATATACTGTATATTATATATATGTTTATATTACTGTATATTATATATATGTTTATATTACTGTATATTATATATATGTTTATATTACTGTAGGCTAAAGACTTATAGTGCTTAACAAATGACAAACTATTAATTATTATATGTAACAATCGTTTAAGCATTTCTTTGAATGTAGTTACATTGGATATTATAATACTAACGTGAATTTGTCACCTTGCTATTAGTATCTGAATATATTTCAATATCTCTATTGAATACTATGGATAATATACCATAACATAGTGAAATCATTCTGTTCGTCTGTGGAAGGTATATAAAACTATATTTCAATATTTCTAGTGAAGGATAATATACCATAATATAGTGAAATCATTCTGTTTGTCTGTGGAAGGTATATAAAACTATATTTCAATATTTCTAGTGAAGGATAATATACCATAATATAGTGAAATCATTCTGTTTGTCTGTGGAAGGTATATAAAACTATATTTCAATATTTCTAGTGAAGGATAATATACCATAACATAGTGAAATCATTCTGTTTGTCTGTGGAAGGTATATAGAACTATATTTCTATATTTCTAGTGAAGGATAATATACCATAATATAGTGAAATCATTCTGTTTGTCTGTGGAAGGTATATAGAACTATATTTCAATATTTCTAGTAAGATAATATACCATAATATAGTGAAATCATTCTGTTTGTCTGTTGAAGGTATATAGAACTATATTTCAATATTTCTAGTGAAGGATAATATACCATAACATAGTGACATCATTCTGTGAATCCACACAGACGACTTCCCCACTGGTTATATAACACTATCTGACAATATCAAGAAAAAGAAACTTTGTTCGAAGCGAGTATTAAGTAACAACTTCAGACCACAATAATGCAATCATATAAGCTTTGACATCTCCCCGACAAACAGAGTCCAGAAGAATACTCTATTAAACACATTACAAAATTTACAAATTATTTTACTAATCTAAAACATCATTTCTTATTTATTTCAATGTACATGCTACTAATTATCAATTATGTAATTGATATAGATATAAGATGTAAGATATAATGTGGAAGTTGATAATTGTTATTTTTTCTACCATTCTCCTCACTCAATGTAAGTATATATTTATTGTTCTAAGTCTCCACAGGAAACAGGTCGTTAAGAGTCTCAAATCTTGCCCCCAAGACAAACAATTTTGTGTTTTTTAAACTTTTTTTTTTTAGCGTTTTTGGAGCCATTATCAAGAATGTCATTTAGTGACTTATTTATGGTTATATAGGGTGGAGAGTGACTTGTCCAAAGTTAGGATACCTGAAGGATCGTTTGGAGAATAGGAAAAATCTTTAATATAGTATGTCTTAATACCTATCCCTAGTTCCTAGGATCGATCCTAGCTACCCAGCCTGGTTCAAGTAAAAAACAAACAAAAAAGTTTACTTTACGATATATTAAATACAGGTGTTAAGTTTGGACCTGATGGTAGATATACCTGTCACTGTTTAAATGATGAACCATGTAATAAATATTCTGGTTTCTGTAATGGAGGTTGTGCTAATGGATGGTCTGGTGCTTCTTGTCAAAAACGTAAGATTTTTTGAGTAACATTTTGAGTGTAACCACCTGAATCTACAAAGATCCACTGCTGGGATAAGACATCTCAAATTAACTTTTTTCTTTTTTGGCAGTCTAATTAAAATGAGACCTAACTTCCGTTCGTATTTTATTAGTTTCGTTTCGAATGTTTTATTAGCTATTAGCTTTGTACGTAACCACTACAGTAAGGTCTAACACTGACCTGGACTTTTCATTCTGTTGACCTTTGCTTGCTTGAGCTCTGTTTTAACCAATCACGTGGCTGCCTTTTCCAGTGACTGGATAATGTGACTCGAACAATAGGTGCATTCCGAGGCATATTAGACATAAACTAATAAAATAGGAACGGAAGTTTGATCTAATTTTAATTATTTGGCAATGTTTTATTGTTGATTAAGAAGTATTTAGAATGAAAATTTAAAGGAAGACAAACCAGAAATTGCTTTATAATATAATAATACTTTGTATTCCATCAAACACACAAACTTGAAACATAAATCTTTGTATATCACCATGGGAAATATTTAATAAATAATATCACCATGGTTTCAAGTGATGTCTGCAATTTACTAAATTATTACCATTTAAAAACAAAACGTTTATTGAGTTAAATTACCTTTTCACACTAGGGTATAATTATTTACACATTTCCTAAAATTAGTGAGAACTATAAAGCTCACATGTTAAATAAATAACACGGTTTATATTCCTTTACCATCCCTTGAATGATGATGTAAATATTTTATAGAGAATGTAGCTTTAAATAAATCACCAAGTCAGGTTGAGACTAACAGAACAAAGAGAGAATCTGGTGATAGAACTACTAATAAACCTGACAAATGTTATAACTATAATAAAACTGGTAAATGGTTGGGAATAGATCTAGAAGAAGGTTATCCTATTAAACACATCATCATCCAACGTAAGAATGACGTTTGTCTAACATTTTCCAAAAATTACAAACTATACTAGTCTCAATCTGTGTCGCATCTTTCAAAATTCGCTAAATTACGAAATCCGTTTAGGATAATGCCAAAGCACATGATACTAAGAAATATCATAAACCTAAACCTGAATAAAACCTGTAAGTTTTGCTCTTAGCCAATATCTTGTACCTAATATACAGTAACAGGCTATAGGTTAATACATATCTTTAATTTAGAAAAGGAAGAGATTAACAACTTATAATTGTTATTTTTATTTTCTCTTTCAGCGAAAAGGGGTGAGTAGAAAAATATTATTGTTTACAATAACAATTCACTTGGAAGTAGAAATAATATGATCTTTCAGTTATTTTTGAAATGATAATTATGATCTTTCAGTTATTGGTGTTATTTTTCAAATCTTGTTTTCAGATTTAGCATCAGTGAATGGAATTTTACTACATGTTACTAAAGAGAATGGAGAACCAGAACTATGTTATAAAGAAGGTCTGAGTTCGACGCCACCATTTGTTAAAAATATAGAGTGTAGTCATGTTATATATGGTCGTTATGTTAATATCAGTAATGATCGTATCAGTCATAATGGAAGATATTTAACATTATGTGAAGTAGAGATATATGGTTAGATTTTATTTTAAGTTATTAAATTAGAGCACTAGAAATAACATTCCGTTAAACTTCTTGCTCTCGATCGACCTGGTCGCTGGTGGGTCGTGATGACTGTCGAGGCCTCGATGAGCAAAACTACAATCACTCAAATTCTATTTCCCGATTGACCCTATGGACGACATTGTCACATTTATCTCCGTATATCTGTAGACTTCGAGAGAGAACTTTGTGATTATTACAAACAAACAAACAAAAACTGCACAACACTTACTTATAACTTTTAATCAGATATTGTACAAAACTTTAAGGTTATATTGAAGACAACGTTTCGATAAATTACAATCTGATATATCTCTGATATTTTATAATTTGAAAACTTTATTAAATGGTAATGGATTAATAGAAGCTTCGACTTGTTTCTGAAACCATTGATTATATATATATATATATGTAATGAATAACTTGTACTTTATGAATAAATATTGTCTAGAAAAATAAATTACTTTGAACGTAGAAAAAGGAGGTTTTCCTTGCTCACTTACTACGTCCCGAGGCATTTTAATGACAAAATAATATAGTTACTGGAAAGTATCGTCTATAATACCGAATACAAACAGTATTCAATATAAGTATTGGGTGTGGACTAATGACCGTCGGAAGAACCGAATTTCTTCATATCTTTCTTTATTTCAGTATGTTCTGTAGGAACGTTTGGTTCAGATTGTAACAACTTCTGTCATTGTTTTAATAATGAAAGATGCTCAGAGACTGGTGAATGTCCTAATGGTTGTTCTGATGGATGGACAGGAACAACTTGTAGTCAAAGTAAAGATCGGATAGATAGGAAGATAGATAGATAGATAGATAGATAGATAGATAGATAGATAGATAGATAGATAGATAGATAGATAGATAGATAGATAGATAGATAGATAGATGACATTGCGAACTCGGGCCTGGGAGGTATTGCGTGAGCATTTATCCATACATACTTATCTATTTCTAGTGTGTGATAATGGTACATACGGTGCTGGATGTTTAAAACTATGTTCAGATAGAAATTGTTTAGTAGAAACATCACCATGTCATCATATCTATGGTAGCTGTCAAGGTGGTTGTATAGAAGGTTTTTATGGTGAAGTTTGTGATATGAAATGTTCAGATAGAAAATGTAAAGATAGTAATTTACAATGTGAGAGTAAAACAGGAAAATGTATTGATGGATGTCGACGAGGATACCAGTCAATAGATTGTATACAAGGTACAATATTTTATAATGTTGACAGAGCTTTTATTATTCCCTTCAGATATATTCTATAAATATTCACTATTGAGTCAATCCACTGATGGTTTTATAGACATGGTATTTGTCTGATTACCTTTCTAACAAAATCTTACCTGATATTTTCTATGTCTAGAATGTGATAATGGAACTTATGGAGAGAACTGTCAGTTTAAATGTTCAGAAAGATTCTGTCAGTCACATGATAACTGTAGTTATATAGATGGAGCTTGTGATTGTTTAGATGGATACCAAGGAACTGATTGTATCTATAAACAAAGCATTGAACAAGAAGATAACAAAGGTTAGCTGTCGTTTATTGTTAAACTAGAAATATCTGTTATTGAACTGTATGTCATTAGTTTACCAATGTTCAACTATTACATGTTTGGTCACTGTACTTTAAGGAATTATGACCAGAAATATCACCTCTAAAATTGATATTTAAATTTGATCATAATTCATCTTCAGTTGACAATGCATCTACTCAGGATGCTCAGTGTTTATAGGGACAGATTTGCTATTTTTGAGGAGTAAAATGTACCTCGGTCTAATCAGTAATAAAATTCACAGCTTACCTTCGAAATTTAGCCTCCCTATCCACGTGTATCCAGAATTATCTCTTGTTTTAAAGTTACTTTTAAGAGCCTTCAGGAATGGTTAAGACTTTATAAATCAAAAATTATCGCCCAGCGACGTCCTTGGCATTTACTCTTATAGACCTTAACAACAAGACGTACAACTTTCGCATAATAAAATATATAAAAATTGAAATTCCTAGTTTGAGGTATATTTGAAGGGATATTTAATTTGCGTGCTGTTCTAGTAGTTGTAAAGATTATTTACATATATTCAAAGCCCAAATCAACCACCGAAAATGGTGAAGCATGGCCTTTAATGATATTGTCTGCATTTATGACGTATTTATTAAAAATATATCGAGCAGTTCCTAAAATATTGTAACATTTTACTGTAAATACTTCTAAATATAAAATTATATCTTTATTTTGTGTCTTCATTAACCCATATTACAGAAATAATAATTGGAACGATTGTTGGAGTAATAGTATTCGTGGTATTTGTAGTAGTGATAGTATGTGTTCTGTGTAAGAAGAAAAACAGGTAAGACTCGGATTTGCAAAATGGGAAATTTTGACGCAAATATTGAAATTAAGTTCAACCACAATATATTCAGCTACTGTGTAGGAGAAGTTGAGGGGAAGATCAGCCAGGTAGATTTTAACTCACTGTTAGAGTGATGTATAATTAATATATTATATCTATATAGTATTTCCTGACTAATTTATCTATATAGTATTTCCTGACTAATTTATTTATTCATGAAAACCAAAATAGAACTATTGTTATGATTCTAATTTCCACCAGCAGGTTTAAAAATCTCTTTACAATCCCGTTAAGCCTTCTGGAATAAGTTCGTACAGATGTCGTCTCTAGGCTTTTGGGCATGTTTACTCAGTATCTAATTTGGAGAGTACAGATAGTTTATATTAAGGCATGTATTGCTTCACAAAAAAAGAAGAAAATATTCTTTATTTTTTAGGTATGTAAAAAAGAATAGAAAAAAGGGTACCGAATCGAGTGACAATGTAAGACAACAAGAAGTAATGATTGGTTAAAACTCTTAATTATACGCAATAAGAACATAATGATATGATTAAGATTACAAGATAATTCATTAAAAACACCAATTAACCAAATAATTTTTCTTAATTTGACACTAGAAAATAAGGAAATCCATCTTTAAATGTTACTGTTATTTTTGCTAATCTAATTCTTATAGAAATGTATGCTAGTTTTATAGATCTCCGTAAAATGTTTTGATAAGATTTCACATAATATATTATTTTTCAAGCTTCACCAATTTGGTAGTAGCTGTAAATTTATAAATTATAAAGGCAATATAAATAATGATACACGTTAGAGTAAATGGTATAATATCTGATAGTTTTAAATACCAAATGGGTGTAAAACAAGGCGAACCAATGTCTCCTATATTGTTTTTACTTTTTATGTATGACGTTGAAACAAATTTGTTCCCTGAAATTGATCATAATAGTGATTTCTGTGTTGTTAGATATAGAATCTTATTTATTTTAATGTTTGCCAATGATACGGTTTTATTCTGCAAATGTCCAAAAGAATTACAACGCCTGTTAGATTTATTTTATTTGTTTTGTTCGAAATGGAATTTGTGTATTAATGAAGACAATCAAAGATTGTAGTGTAAAAAAAGTAAACATGCCATTAAAGTTAAGTGGTTCGTAAACGGAAATGAATTGAAAGTTGTCGATTCATATATATATATCTCGGAGTTCTTCTTAATTACAATGGTCATTTTAATGCTACTAAGATACGGTTACATGACCAGGGTAGAAAGGCTTTGTATTTATTATATTTCATTATTAATAAGTTAAATATGTCTATTGACTGTAAATAGAAAATTTATGATTCTTGAGTTAAGTCTGTTCTAATGTATAGATGTGAAGTCTGGGGGTTCAAATTGTTAAAAGATGTTGAAAAAGTTCAAAACGAGTTGATGTGAAAACTATTAAAAGTAAGATTTAGATCTAATATATAATATCTTTTATTAATATGTTGATTTATAATTGTATTATTAAAATCGTATTCGTATTCGTTTTGTATATAATGCGTATATATGTTACATGTATATATGTTGCTAAAGCATTAATAAAGCTATCACTTCAACATCTATTAGTGTGTACAGGGTTTCAGTTAATATCTCTATGTCAATTTAAAAAAGTTTAATAATAGTTTATACCTTGATAAATCTTGAAAGCCTTGTGATGTAAAAATTCAACTATATATTATCCTAGTCACAAACAGAAGAATTACTCTTTACGATCATTGATGCACCCCATAACCTGTTTTCATCATTTCAAACCTGTCAAATGAACCTCTCTCAGATAGTCCACAATTTTCTAATCTCGGAAGTGGAGAGTGCATCTACAAACGATTTTGGCTATCAACTTTTCATTTTTTCCTGTCTCCTTGTGCAACCAGTATTAAAATCTGTAATAATTTTGTAAGAAAGTTATTATCTGTGATCAGTTTTTATCTGTGATAAGTTATTATCTGTGATAAGTTATTATCTGTGATAAGTTATTATCTGTGATAAGTTTTTATCTGTGATAAGTTATTATCTGTGATAAGTTATTATCTGTGATCAGTTTTTATCTGTGATAAGTTATTATCTGTGATAAGTTTTTATCTGTGATAAGTTATTATCTGTGATCAGTTTTTATCTGTGATAAGTTATTATCTGTGATAAGTTATTATCTGTGATCAGTTTTTATCTGTGATAAGTTATTATCTGTGATAAGTTATTATCTGTGATCAGTTTTTATCTGTGATAAGTTTTTATCTGTGATCAGTTTTTATCTGTGATAAGTTATTATCTGTGATAAGTTATTATCTGTGATCATTTTTTATCTGTGATAAGTTATTATCTGTGATCAGTTTTTATCTGTGATAAGTTATTATCTTTGATCAGTTTTTATCTGTGATCAGTTATTAGATTCCGTCCAACCAAAGCTAGATGTATCTTGTTAAACTACACTTTTTACAAATCATGATTTATATAGTTGTGGTGGTAGTCATTTATTTCATAATCAAATGGCTAATGTATTAGTTTTTTTTTTACTTTTCAAGTAAGCTTATAGCTTTAATAAAAAAAATTCATTTATCAACAGTTTAGCTTTAAGCAAGTTGTTTGCCAGGAGTGTGAATCTCTTTCATTAATTTTACTTGGTTAAAAACCATTCAATCTCATTTGAAATATTTCATGTATTTGTAAATCTTATCAATTTGTACTCATTCTGCTTTTTATATTTCTCAAATGATTCATTTTATATTTTTATATTTCAAAGTTTTTTTATTTTCAGTAATAAATAAAGGTGTAGAACTTAGACCTCGTGTTTTAAAATAAAACAATGTTATACATATCTACAAAATAGCAATGACCATTGTAATAGGCCTACGCCAACAGTTGTAATGGCAGTCGAGTCTAGCTTTATTATCAGCCTTGTTTGTAAAGTGTCCACAAGATTCAAGAAGGGCAATAACTCTGTATAATAACACAGTTGGAAAACTCTGAATTTCAATAGGTCTCTTCCACATTATGATATTTACAACCATAGCAAGATTTATTAAAATATATTGACTCATCTTTTAATCTGAAAAATACAAACTATATAAAAACTAGAATTTGATTTGAATATTTATTAATCAGTGGTGGCTAAAGAATGAGAAACTTTACTGACGTGTTCTCGAACAGCTCGGTCTAATATCTCATAAATATCTTTACAACCTTTAGATGCTACATCTAATACTTTACTTAGATTGTCTTCATGTAATCTAGAATTCATCTCTAAAAACACTATTTGTTCTGATTTGGGAAGAGTGGCCACGATTAACTCCGGACCACCTCCAGACTCTTCTAGATAACTGATATCTACTATAGATGTATCATTCACGAAGCCAGCGGAACACGCACATACATAGTCTTTTAAAGGAATACCAGCATCTATTAGAGCTAATGTAGCAGCATTCACACTGGCACAATAATTTCCTCCATCTGACTGTAATACCTGGAAATATAATGAAATAGAGATTTATTATCTATCCTCTATTGTCTGAGCAAAGTAAAAGGTTTTTTGAATTTTACCCATAATTCTTATAAGAATTGGAATAGCAGCCTCAAAATAGTACTGATAGTCTAAGAGTGTCTTTTAAGTTGATAAATTTTTTTTAATAATTTACACTGAAAAGAAACACATTTCCCTCATAGAAATTTCAACCCAAAAAAAGTCAAAAATTTTGGCTGAAAATGGGCCTCTGTAAAAACATAAACAATTTTTGAAGACCTGATGTGTGATGATGTTTATATTTTTATCAACATAAAGACATTCTAAGATTATCAGTAATATTTTGAGGTTGATATTTCAATTCTCATAAAAATAATAAACAAAATTCAAAAAACTTCTTCAATTAATTTGTTCTTGGGACAAAACATTATTTAAATCAAAGAGATTGTAAAGAGGTTTTCTAGAATTTTTTAATGTGTATCAGGGACACTGATCGCATTCCAATTTTAAATCAGACGTCTGTGGCTCCTGCAATTCTACTAAAACCAAGTGTTTTATGACATCACTAATCAAAATTGTAATGGTGCAAATATATGCTATCAGTGTAAAAGATACACAGACAAAATTTAGAAAACCTCTTTACAATTCCTTCAAGTTTACCACTATTATAAGTACTGTGGCAGGTACTGTATGCTACATAAGAGTTGCTAATTTGGCCAGGACACCCCGTGCCACTCTGCAACTGTGTTTATCAACTCAGCATCCCTTTCAGAGAGTCCACATAACTGATATGTTTCTTAGTGGGCTATATGTATTTCTGTACGTATTATTAAAAATCTACATTGACATTTTCTTACCTCAACATAAATATCAATCTGTGAACGTGGATATAAACTGGTCAATATCACAGCATCAAATGTTTGTTTTAAATGCATCGTCATCTCAGTAGATTTCCTGTCTCCACGCGGTCGTTTCTTTCGCTCTCCAGTACTGAAGGTAGCCATGCTGTACTGACAATTCACCAAAACTTTATCATGTAACATCTTAGATCGACTTCCCCGCACCTGTAGTTAAACAATATCATTAAAATAGCAAAAACATAAACGGGCCAAGAGGTCATAATACTCAAGCCGTAGGGTCAAGAAGTCTCCTGGTCGATCTGTTCTATATTCCACCAGAAACGAGAGATTGCCATCTGTCATACAGGCAATTCAAGAGAGTTACAAAGCTGGGTTGGTGAAGTTGCCATGGTAAGAGAGCCAATATTAATGGATCCAAAGGTAATTTGGGTAAGTTAATGCACTGTTCAAGTTATCAAGTAGTAAATAAGTTCACAAGCGAAAAATTGTGATAAAGTCAGGATCGTAGACGAGTTTTATGAATAAAAATCACTCAGCAGTCTGATCAGACACCAATCATCATATTAATTTTCATACAGAGAAACCAAATGTCAAGGATAATGAATTTCACTGTACAACAACAACAAAAAACTAAAAATATAGTTGGGATATTCACACAGTTCATGTGAATAATCATCGGCACAGCGGTTAAGCCATTGTGGATTTTTTACATTTCACAGACACCGTGATTTTATGACTGTTTTGTTTACCTCATGTGGACCGTACACTGCGGCCAGCACCTTCGTGTTTCCTTGCTCAATATACGCCGACCCATCCGATTGTTTGAAAACACCAAGTCTACATTGAATTTTTCTTAATTCGTTTGGTCTACGGCCATCTATTCTAAATCCTTGATCCGATAACAGTTCTAATCCCGCCATGTTTGTTTACATGAACCACGTGGGTAGCTTGGATTAACCAGCGAATATCTTTTAACTACCGAAAATCTCATATACAACCAAACACTTGATAGCAGTCTTAAGCATTTAAGCAACTTAGTCGAATGGCGTTGACTGTAATATTTTCTACATCTTTTTCTCATGGCAGACGAATAATTTTACAAGCAATTATTAGCTTACTCTGTAGTTCATATATTATGATTCGGCTGTCAAAAGATAGCAGCTGTTGCAAAGTACTGAACTGTAAACAAACTACTACAAACACAGGTCCTTATCACTGATATTTAACCAACTTGAGCAAGTAAGTTTTTATTTTAATTATTACGTGGCGTTTTGAATTTATGGGAGTCTAGATATGTGACTCAAGTAGGTTTGGTTCAGAGGACAGTGCATGACAAAGCATAACTTGTACTCAATTGTCACTGTAGAGTGGATAGGCTATTATTGATAACCTTATTCAACTGCTCTACACAAATATTTATAGATGATGATGGACCAGTAGTTTGGTAGTGTGGTGATACGTTCATGACTGTTGGATTTAACAAGGATATCCTGTCTCTCCCATATTTAGTGGAAGCTGTGGTGGCTCAGTGAGTTAGACGGTTGCTCGCTAACCTAAAGATCCAGGGTTCAATCCCGGCATAGGATTCCCCCTGTCAGTGTTGCAGGTAAGAGGGGCTGACATGGAAAAGTGTTTGGTCTTTTGGATGTGAAAATAAACCGAGGCCCTGTGCGTTACGGCTGTGCAAAATAAAGATCCCTCAACAGTTGAAAATCATTGGAAACCCTGCATGTCTTTGCCTGTTTTCATTAGCCCACATGGTGCAGAAAAGTAGGACATAAAACTCCATTCATTTCATTTTCCAATATTTAGTACCGTATTTAGTAGGTTTAGGTAAACTTGGGCAAGATTGGTGTATGCAAGACTCAGTCAGTGTAAGCATAGAATAGATCGATCTTGAGCCAGCGACGTAGGGTAAGACATGATTATTGTCTGAGCAAAGCAAAAAAGATTTTTGAATTTTTTCCATTATTTCTATGAGAATTGGAATATCAGCTCCAAAATAGTACTGTCAGTCTTAGAATGTCCTTGTGTTGATAAAAATAGAAACATCACCATATAAAACTCTTTCAGACTGACTTTAAAAAACAGTTAACAGTTTTGTGATAAAATGACAGGAAAGTTTCAATTTGCCATTGACCGTGGTGGAACGTTTACTGATGTCTGGGCTAAATGTCCTGATGGACAAGTTGTGGTCACCAAGTTACTATCAGTTGACCCTGGTAATTATCAGGATGCTCCGCGGGAGGGGATTAGAAGAATTCTAGAACAGGTTTGTTTTTTTTTATCTTAAAACTGAACTTTGTTATGTATATTAGCTCTCATACGACATATTTTACTTTTTATCTTGAATTAAAAATGTTAATTTTCATCCAGGTGAAAAAAATATGATCTAGGTAAAAATTAGTTGTTTTAATTCAAAATAAAAAGTGAACTATGTTGTATTTAAGCCACTATATTTATGGCTTCTATTTTTATCCATCAGAATTTTGTTTGTTGAAAGTGTATAGATGATATTATCTTGACAAACATTATATATGTTAATATTTAGGCATTATTTAATCAGGCGAATATTAGAACAGTATTTATTATGATACAGGTATATCACCCAGCCCTGTTTCATATTGTATATAGATCTAAACTGATCTAGGGCTATGTATATACATACTAATACAGGGCAAACAATTTGTTTCTTTAGTCATGAAATATTTAAGATTTGTAAATACATTATGTTAACTCTTTCTGGAGAAAATATTTTGCTTGTTTATAATCAAATTAAATGGCTGACAATTTGAGATTTCTTGATTTTACTTGATGCCAGCAAGATGTAAAATAGTTTTTTCACATTGTTGTCCTTCAAATTTCCCTATCCGTTCCACCAATCATACCTTAAGTGATATTTAGATATACCTTAAGTGATACAATAGAAAACACATATCGGTATATAGAAATAGACAGTGAAATTTCTGGTTTGAGGTATATTTGAAAGTATTATGTGATTTTCGTGTGTTTTAAGACTATTAAAGGACATTCAAGACCCAAAAATACTGACTGTTCCCCTTTGAATATCTTGTTTTACTTGATATAAACTCTATTTTGTAGACTAAAGGTATTGGAATGCCAGCGAAGGAAGCTATAGATACTAGCGATATAGAATGGATTCGAATGGGGACCACTGTAGCTACCAACTCTCTGTTAGAAAGAAAGGGAGAACGTATGGCTCTGGCTATAACTAAAGGTTTCAGAGATTTATTACACATCGGCAATCAAGCTAGACCGAATATCTTCGACTTGGTAAGTCAGCGTCTGCACAATGTCAAGTTATTACGAACTGCTTCATATACCTTGAAATCAATAGCCACCTTTCTTGTATCACAGAAGTTTGTGAAGGCAGTGCTTCCGAGAGTCTGCCCAGTGTCAGCTTTAACCCCTTAATCCCTCAATTACTTGCACAGTCAATAATTGTTAACAGGTTTTCTGTCAGGGGTTTGTTAATTACTCAGCATCACATAGTCTTACAAACATCTCAATAACTTAATAAAAACACAGTAACGTACTGTTTGTGTTTGTATGCTGCCCACAATGGGCATATACTGGGTATGCAATAAATCTTATCATGTATCATGGGAGAGGGGTAGGGCTGGGCGATATACCAATATCATGATATCACCAATATGGCCCAGCCCTATAGAAGGGTAATATAGGCAAATATCTTTCCCCCAATCCTTTTCTTTATTAAGTGAATGTCAGCCTCTCTTACCTGCATCACTGACAGGGGGAAACCGGGTTGAAAAATCTGAAGGTATTATCTCGACCTATATTGGGATTGAACCCTGGAACTTCAGGTTAATGAGAAAGCATCTAACTCACTGAACCACATGGCTCCCCTCTTCTTGATTGAAGAAATGTATCAAGTATTGGTAAGAATAAAAAAGAACACATGTTTCAATTTTAATATATTTATATTACTCTATATTTTATATCATTATATCTCATTCCATTCACATTTATTTTTCCTTTTGTATGAATGAATAAATTGTTTTTCAAAATATAATAATCAATATTTTTAACACCATCTGATGTTTCCACGGCAAAAAGTATCGAGTATCGCACTGATCTAAATAAGAATCCAGAATCAATACAAGCAAGACAATTCCGTCAGTCAAAAATCTTGTCCAAAGAATGCCAAAATCAGTAAAAGTTGTATAGTAGTGGATATCTCCAAAGAGAGGTACCATTAGGTGTATCGAAAAGAGTAAGCATGGTCTGCTTCGGGTGCAACACTCGCCAGTACTATATAGGTCAACATCATAAGATACAACCAGATCAATTTATGACTGACCAAACAAATCATTCAAAATACCTGAACATATGAATAAATTACTCTAGGAAATAATAACACCAGAAGAGTTGTATGAAGATATAATAGAAGTCAATGAAAGAGTTGTTTTAAAACAGGACAGATGTGAGATTAATAAACCTAACGTCAAAACAGTGACTGGTAAAACACAGGAACAGGTCAGTCATGTTTTTCAATTACCTCCTTAAAAAGTTGACATGGAAAGAGTCTAATAAAAAATTAGACCTAACTTTCATTTCGTTTTTTTTTTATAAGATCACAGTAGGGTCTAACATTCGTCAAATTGACCTTTTGACCTAACCTGCTTTAACCAATCAAATTTATGCCTTGTGTTGGGGTTTTGTGATGTGATCAAAAGGTGTATTTTAAGGATCAATAGACTAGTTCATCAAGTCCACTGAAAGATATGGCCATTTTAAATAACGAACACATTGCTGATTAGACCCAACCTATCCTGAAGTGACTATACTAAAAATATAAACTAATGAAAAAAAACGAAACGAAAGTGGAAGTAGCATCTTGTTATTTTAATGGGACGATGAACCAAAGCTGCTTGGCAACTCAGTACAGAAAAGAGCCTCTGACTGTTGGAAATCTCAGAGAATAGGCTAATGCCACTGCCCTGACAAAATTTCCCTCATTGTACACTGCATAGAGAAGAGTCATCTTACTGTTGAGTTGGTTAATCTCTTCATTATTAGTATAATAATATTATTTCAGTTAGAGGTATGGCAGACTGTAGATGAAGAGTTATTAAGAAAAGATTTAAAGACAACATTAGAAAAGGGAATAACAAGCTTAGCTGTTGCTTTACTCCATTCTTATACGTAAGTAACAAATCAAGAAGAATACAATTTTAACGACAGTGTGACACATTCAGAACACGACTCTCTTTAAGCTAGGTCCGAGCCAGTTTAGTTTTAGTTTTTACCTGTAAGGAATACATATCAGCGTGAGCCGTGGTAGCTCAGTGAGTTAAACGCTTGCTCGCTAACCTGAAGATCCAGGGTTCAATACCGGCATAGGTCGAGATAATACTTTCAGCTTTTTCAACCCGGTTTCCCCCTGTAAGTCATGCAGGTAAGAGGGGCTGACATGGATGAAGTGGCTAGTCGTTCAGATGGGACAATAAACCGAGGCCCCGTGTGCTACAGGCTGTGCATGTTAAAGATCCCACGACAGTTGGAAATTAACGAATAGCAAGCTAATAATGATGTCCTGGCAAAATTTCTCTCATTGCACCCTTCTTCATTGGCACACATGGTACAGAAAAGTAGGACGTAAAACCTCATTCATTTCATTTGTATACATATCAGCATTCTGTTTCACAAAAATCAGACAATAATTTTATTGTTATTATGGAATTTCTCATTGTAAACTTACAATCAAACTCTTATTGAAAGACCCTTTCAAGGAACAAGTTCCAGGTGCCTGAACAAAATCAGATTGTATAGATCTTTCTTTGTGTATTTTTAACAGTGTCTTTTGTTTCAGATTTTCTGATCATGAAGTTGAAGTAGGAAGAATAGCGAGAGAAATGGGATTTAAACATGTTTCTTTATCATCTGATATCATGCCCATGATACGTATTGTACCTAGAGGTTTTACAGGTAACAAGTCAATTATCATTTTTCTGCCCCATGTTTTTAGGGCAGACTATTTGTAGTCCCTGGGTCCCAGTCAGTCATCATATTTTTTGGTCTTTCCATTGTACTAAGAACTGAAATATTCTGAGAGACCTGTTGATAGTGTCTAGCTATGAACCTCAAAATGCTAAATAAACTTCTTCCAGTCTCAAATATCATTTCTAAATTACCCTGGCTAACCACGACCATAAACTAGCCATTTCCATTCTTACAATTCAGCCTGTCAGTTATGAATCAATAGTTGATAGTTGTGTATGTTTGGAAGTTTTATTTCTATATTACAGCGTGTGCTGATGCCTATCTAACTCCGTGTATTCACCAGTATGTTAAAGGATTCTCTTCTGGTTTTAAAGATGGTCTAAAGGTAATAATACGTATTAGTACTCTTAGTTGTTTGAAACAGTTTGACAAACAACACAGCAATATTGTCTGAATCCTTTCTGCCACTACTCAACAATATATGTGTTTCTGTTTTGAAGTCAGTTTTGGTTTGTCAAAAATTAGCACATTCTTTTTATTTATATTGTATTTTTGCACTCAGAATCTGACTCACAAGATTAACACAAAGAGTCCACTTTAATTTGAGGTAGTATAAGTATTATAAGACAGTAATAGGTCAATCTAGTTTCATATTTCTATTAATTCTACCTAATAACAAAGTAGACTGTTCAATGATATATTGAGGAACTGTAAGATTTGGAGGAAGGATAAGGTTACTTTCTTCGTTCGATTGTCTCTGATGGTAAACTATCATGACTGACAACTCTTGACTATGTCAGGATATATTTTCAGGATACCAAGGTACTATTCATGCAGTCTGATGGTGGATTAACACCAGTTGATAAGTAAGTCCTTTATTTAGATAAGATTTAGTTATTGATATTATAAGCAAGGCAAGTCATGTTCACTTTTCATGAATACAACTGGGAGGTCATACTTCAACTATTAGCTCTTGGTGCTTGAGTTACAGTCCGAAGTTTCATAGTGGGTGAAGTGAGGGCTTCAGGACTTGCTCCTCCTTCCTGAAAACCTGATGCGACTTGGTCTAGTAAGCATAACTTGCAGAGCTGGAGGAAACTGACCTCTACAAACTTGTAAGAAATGATGATTGGAGAACAGCATGGGAGCATGAGAAATTGTTAATTTTTTAGGTTTAATGGATCTAGAGCTATATTTATAATGTAGGTTTAATGGATCTAGAGCTATATTTATATTGTAGGTTTAATGGATCTAGAGCTATATTTATATTGTAGGTTTAATGGATCTAGAGCTATATTTATATTGTTGGTTTAATGGATCTAGAGCTATATTTATAATGTAGGTTTAATGGATCTAGAGCTATATTTATCTTCTAGGTTTAATGGACCTAGAGCTATATTTATATTGTAGGTTTGATTGATCTAGAGCTATATTTATATTGTAGGTTTAATGGATCTAGAGCTATATTTATATTGTAGGTTTAATGGATCTAGAGCTATATTTATATTATAGGTTTGATGGATCTAGAGCTATATTTATATTGTAGGTTTAATGGATCTAGAGCTATATTAATATTGTAGGTTTAATGGATCTAGAGCTATATTTATATTGTAGGTTTAATGGATCTAGAGCTATATTTATATTGTAGGTTTAATGGATCTAGAGCTATATTTATATTGTAGGTTTAATGGATCTAGAGCTATATTTATATTGTAGGTTTAATGGATCTAGAGCTATATTTATAATGTAGGTTTAATGGATCTAGAGCTATAGTTATATTGTAGGTTTAATTGATCTAGAGCTATATTTATATTGTAGGTTTAATTGATCTAGAGCTATATTTATATTGTAGGTTTAATTGATCTAGAGCTATATTTATATTGTAGGTTTAATGGATCTAGAGCTATATTTATATTGTAGGTTTAATGGATCTAGAGCTATATTTATATTGTTGGTTTAATGGATCTAGAGCTATATTTATCTTCTAGGTTTAATGAACCTAGAGCTATATTTATATTGTAGGTTTGATTGATCTAGAGCTATATTTATATTGTAGGTTCAATGGATCTAGAGCTATATTTATATTGTAGGTTTAATGGATCTAGAGCTATATTTATATTATAGGTTTAATGGATCTAGAGCTATATTTATATTGTAGGTTTAATGGATCTAGAGCTATGTTTATATTGTAGGTTTAATGGATCTAGAGCTATATTTATGTTGTAGGTTTAATGGATCTAGAGCTATATTTATATTGTAGGTTTAATTGATCTAGAGCTATATTTATATTGTAGGTTTAATGGATCTAGAGCTATATTTATATTGTAGGTTTAATGGATCTAGAGCTATATTTATATTGTAGGTTTAATGGATCTAGAGCTATATTTATATTATAGGTTTAATGGATCTAGAGCTATATTTATATTATAGGTTTAATTGATCTAGAGCTATATGTATTTTGTAGGTTTAATGGATCTAGAGCTATATTTATATTGTAGGTTTAATGGATCTAGAGCTATATTTATATTATAGGTTTAATGGATCTAGAGCTATATTTATATTGTAGGTTTAATGGATCTAGAGCTATATGTATATTGTAGGTTTAATTGATCTAGAGCTATATTTATATTGTAGGTTTAATGGATCTAGAGCTATATTTATATTGTAGGTTTAATGGATCTAGAGCTATATTTATATTGTAGGTTTAATGGATCTAGAGCTATATTATCAGGCCCAGCTGGAGGAGTTGTTGGTTATGCTCTAACTACCTATAATAATGAAACTAAACAACCAGTAATAGGCTTTGATATGGGAGGTTAGTAGAAATTTATTAAAGAATATTTTGTGCATTTTGGTCTTTACAGAAAATAACCCAAGTACTAACGGTCTGAACAATGAACCTCGAAATCAAAAAAAAACTTCAGATTTATCTGGATACTATATATGTTAGATTGATAATGTTTGATATTAAATGATGTACAACAGACATCTCTATGTTATTGTAAGAACATCAACTAATATTTGATATCAAATGATGTACTACAGACATCACTATGTTATTGTAAGAACATCAACTAATATTTGATATTAAATGATGTACTACAGACATCACTATGTTATTGTAAGAACATCAACTAATGTTTGATATTAAATAATGTACTACAGACATCACTATGTTATTGTAAGAACATCAACTAATATTTGATATTAAATGATGTACTACAGACATCACTATGTTATTGTAAGAACATCAATTAATGTTTGATATTAAATAATGTACTACAGACATCACTATGTTATTGTAAGAACATCAACTAATGTTTGATATCAAATGATGTACTACAGACATCATTATGTTATTGTAAGAACATCAACTAATGTTTGATATTAAATGATGTACTACAGACATCACTATGTTTTTGTAAGAACATCAACTAATGTTTGATATTAAATGATGTACTACAGACATCATTATGTTATTGTAAGAACATCAACTAATGTTTGATATTAAATGATGTACTACAGACATCACTATGTTATTGTAAGAACATCAACTAATGTTTGATATTAAATGATGTACTACAGACATCACTATGTTATTGTAGGAACATCAACTGATGTTAGCAGGTATGATGGTCAATATGAACATGTATTTGAAACTACAACAGCTGGAGTTACTATACAAGCACCTCAGGTTAGAGTCTCTTAATATTGATTGTATGGGAAAACCACTTTAAGGATTGTAAAGAGTTTTTCAAAAATTTTTATGTGTATCAGTGACACTGATAGCATCAATTTACACCATTCCAATTTTCAATCAGATTTCTGTGGTTCTTGCGTTTGATGACATCACTTATCGTGAAGAACTTTCTGTGATACAAGCATATTTTGCAATTAGTGACTTCATCATACACTTAATTTTAGTGGAATTGCAGGAACCACAGACATCAGATTGAAAATTGGAATGGTGCAAATTGATTGCTAGTCCATGACAAACCTCTTGGCAATGATTCTGTAAGTTTAATAGCTTAGGATCCTATCTACCATCTGATCATTGGCTAACAAGTTGAGAAATATTTTACAATTATTACAACTGTTATTACTACTCTGTTCATGTAATCTATCTCCATTATTTAAGTTGAAATAATATAAACAATATTTTCTATCCAGTTAGATATTAATACAGTAGCTGCTGGTGGAGGTTCTAGGTTATTTTTTAGATCTGGAATGTTTGTAGTCGGCCCTGAATCAGCCTCAGCTCATCCTGGTCCTGTTTGTTATAGAAAAGGTATGGTGTATGTTTACAGGCCTGAATAAATGTCATTGTTACTAGTAGGAACACAGGCTGAAATAGGTCAATTGTCTGAAGATTGGTGAAACTCAGAGTATTTATTTTTTCTATATTTTTAAGCTTCAAAACATGTTAAAAGTAGTACGGGCACTATGATGCTGAATCAGTACATCATATTCACTATACTATACACCACAATAACCTAATGTATAGCGTGGTCATGTTTCTATGGTTTGAATTGTTAAAATGGACAACAATTGAATTCATCTCATCTCATTTTCTAGTTTTGATTTCTTCATATTTAAACAGGTGGACCATTAACAATAACTGATGCCAACTTGTGTCTGGGTAGAATATTACCTGAATATTTCCCAGCTATATTCGGTGAGAATGAAAATGAACCATTAGATAAAGCTGCTTCCTTGAAAGCCTTTCAACAACTCATATTGGAGGTAAAAATTTATTTTCATTGTTCTTTAGATATTTTGATTATGTAAATCGTGTTCTATTAATTCCTATAAAACTTAATGTTTTATCTCGCACACAAGGCTGCTTATGATATCTAAAGACTTAGTGATAATGATACTGGTTTAACTGGTATTACATAAACCACAGACATCTGACTGAAAATAGGAATGGTACATATCAATGCTTCGCACCTTCTCATCAAATATTTTTTGAAAAATTGGGGTAGGTTAAAAGGGATTGTGTGATTTTTTGTACAATTCAAGTACTTCTGAAGACTATTTTCATAAATTTTAAAACAAAAATTAACTTATGTTGTCTGTTTCCAGGTGAATGAATTTCTGTCCGGCCAACCAGAATCTAGTTCACAAAGGTCAATGACATTAGAAGAGGTTGCTATGGGGTTTATTGAGGTTGCTAATGAAACAATGTGTCGTCCAATCAGAGCTCTTACTCAGGTTAGATCTAACTTTTTCGGTTTAAGTTATGAATTAACAACCATATTGTACAAGGATAACTACTGAGATCCTGTCCTTGGCCAAACCTCTTGGCATTGATCTTTCCCGAATTATCCATATCCATATACAGCTGGGTCGACTGGAATAATGATGAAAAGATGATTTATTCAGTTCATTGGACTTTCTCACACAGACTGTGATTAGAAGTTAAGACCACCATTTGTTAGAGAAATTGAGGTGAAACTTATAAAAGGACTGTTCACTGTCAATTGTTTTCAGGCGAAGTAAGATCTGTAGCTTTATGCTCTGGTATTAATTGCAGGCTAAAGGTTATGATACCAGTCGTCATGTTCTGGCATGTTTTGGAGGAGCTGGTGGACAACATGCGTGTGCTATAGCTCGATCACTGGGCATGTCACAAGTCTTTGTTCACAGGTAAACAAGTTGAGATTATTTTTCACTGCATTACATACCTAAAAGTCTAAATTAGACTTGAAGTATTGTTAAGGTTTTGTTTTTTCCATTATCTTTCCTTCTGTTTAGTTTTCAGCTGATTTTAATTTAACATGATATGCCTATCATAGATAAATTTTTTGTTGGTACAATCTCAATTTATTGACATAAGTTTTACCGAAACAAGATCTTCAGATAACTGACCTATTTTCAGACTGCTTCCCTACTGAAATAGGACAAGTAGTTCATGCTATACGATCGTATAGATATGCTGATATCCTTCTAGTTTATGACTATTATAAAGTCTATTTTGATGATAATGTTTATATTATTTATAGATATGCAGGTATCTTGTCGGCGTATGGAATGGCGCTAGCTGATGTCGTGCATGAAACTCAGGAACCGTGTTCTAAAACATATCAACAAGGTAAGTTCCATTTTTTTAGATTAAGAACCTAACACACATTTTCATCCAATCAGCATTAATTAATTTTTCTATTAAGTGGATACTTAATCATTAAGAATTTCTCAATCATGTGATATTTTGACTGACAGCTAGAGTAAGGTTCTGAATAAGTGATGAGAATGTTTTTATTATTTATATAAGCTAAGCCTGAATGTCAAAGATAACGTTTTTTTTTCATTTAACATGCAAGTTTAGTCGTACAAATTTTTAAGAAACAGGGTCGAGATCTGAATGGTCCATTGCCGTTCATAATCTGTTACTAAGAAGACCTTAGAAATCTATAATAATAGAATATATACGTCTATTTTAGCTGAGTATAATTTTATTGACAGTAGAATTGGTGAATTAGATAAGAGATGTAGAGAGGAACTGATAACTCAGGGTTTTAGTGAAAACACAATTCAAACAGAAATATTTCTACATCTTCGATACGACCGAACAGATTGTGCTCTGATGGTCAATGCTGACAGTTTTCCACCCTCGTCTAAAACTTCACGATATGGTGATTTTAGATCTGCTTTCTTACAAAGGTTGGTGTAGAAAGGGATGAACTGTTTTAATCACCCTAAAATCAATTCATATCTGACATTCATATTTCTTGTGGACATATATTTCTGGAATGACCCACAAAATCCAAGAAAATGGAGCACCCCAAATAATTTCACTGTTTTGATTTAAAATGATAATAAGATATTAAAGAGTGCCTTGAGGTCTTGTGTCCAGTTTTCATATAAAATTGTATCTTTCCTGCAATAATTTCTTATTGATATGACTCGATTGTGAAAACGCACAAAGACATTTTTTGTTAACTGCATGCTGGGCTAATGATAAGAATTATGGCAGTTTAAATAAAGCTACTATATTATATTCCAGATATAAAACAGAGTTTGGGTTTATAATAGAAGACCGGAAGATAATGGTGGATGATATCAGAGTAAGAGGGGTGGGGAAATCATCAGCTGCCTCCAATATTAACATTCCTTCTAGCTCCGAGACACCCAGCCCAGAAAAGGTACGTGTGTCAAAACTTTTGATTTGTTGTTGCTTCACAGAAGGTTTACTCATAAAAAGCAATCAATGTTACATGTCAGATTAGAGAGGTTGACATTGAATGCAACGTAGTGTGCAATGAGGGAAATTTTGCTAGAACTTGCACATCCTGTAACTAATGGGTCTTGGAACACGACACCATTTCATTGTAATTTTCTTCTAAGAACATCACTGACAGACAAAAAATTGCTTGGGTATTTTCTAGGCCTTTGACAAGATCAAATCCTAAAATATTTCCAGACTAGTTTGTCAGTGATCATATAGTCAGATATTTGCTAAACGTCTGAGACCTCAGTTACAATTTACCAAAAATGCATAAATTGTCTCTTCAAGGATGTCATTACCAGTAAAAAAGAAATGTTATATTTGATATCTAGTAGATAGTATAATGTTATTATGTATCTTGTAGATAGTAAAATGTTATTATGTATATTGTAGATAGTAAAATGTTATTATGTATATTGTAGATAGTGAAATGTTAATATGTATGTTGTAGATAGTATAATGTTATTATGTATATTGCAGATAGTGAAATGTTATTATGTATATTGTAGATAGTAACATGTTATTATGTATCTTGTAGATAGTAAAATGTTATTATGTATCTTGTAGATAGTGAAATGATATTATGTATCTTGTAGATAGTAACATGTTATTATGTATCTTGTAGATAGTAAAATGTTATTATGTATATTGTAGATAGTAAAAAGTTATTATGTATATTGTAGATAGTAAAATGTTATTATGTATATTGTAGATAGTAAAATGTTATTATGTATATTGTAGATAGTATAATGTTATTATGTATATTGTAGATAGTAAAATGTTATTATGTATATTGTAGATAGTATAATGTTATTATGTATGTTGTAGATAGTAAAATGTTATTATGTATCTTGTAGATAGTATAATGTTATTATGTATATTGTAGATAGTAAAATGTTATTATTTATATTGTAGATAGTAAAATGGTATTTTGTATCTTGTAGATAGTAAAATGTTATTATGTATATAGTAGATAGTAAAATGGTATTTTGTATCTTGTAGATAGTGAAATGTTATTATGTATATTGTAGATAGTAAAATGTTATTATGTATCTTGTAGATAGTGAAATGATATTATGTATATTGTAGATAGTAAAATGCTATTATGTATATTGTAGATAGTATAATGTTATTATGTATATAGTAGATAGTAAAATGGTATTTTGTATCTTGTAGATAGTGAAATGTTATTATGTATATTGTAGATAGTAAAATGTTATTATGTATCTTGTAGATAGTAAAATGTTATTATGTATATTGTAGATAGTAAAATGTTATTATGTATATTGTAGATAGTAAAATGATATTATGTATCTTGTAGATAGTAAAATGTTATTATGTATATTGTAGATAGTAAAATGTTATTATGTATATTGTAGATAGTAAAATGTTATTATGTATCTTGTAGATAGTAAAATGTTATTATGTATATTGTAGATAGTAAAATGTTATTATGTATATTGTAGATAGTAACATGTTATTATGTATCTTGTAGATAGTAAAATGTTATTATGTATATTGTAGATAGTAAAATGTTATTATGTATATTGTAGATAGTAAAATGTTATTATGTATATTGTAGATAGTGAAATGATATTATGTATATTGTAGATAGTAACATGTTATTATGTATCTTGTAGATAGTAAAATGTTATTATGTATATTGTAGATAGTAAAATGTTATTATGTATATTGTAGATAGTAAAATGTTATTATGTATATTGTAGATAGTAAAATGCTATTATGTATATTGTAGATAGTATAATGTTATTATGTATATAGTAGATAGTAAAATGTTATTATGTATATTGTAGATAGTAAAATGTTATTATGTATATTGTAGATAGTAAAATGTTATTATGTATCATTGTAGATAGTAAAATGTTATTATGTATATTGTAGATAGTAAAATGTTATTATGTATTTTGTAGATAGTAAAATGTTATTATGTATATTGTAGATAGTAAAATGTTATTATGTATATTGTAGATAG